GAGTACGAATCTGCTGTCTTTGCCGAGTCAGAGATGCCTTATCTGTGACTGTCTGCTCTTCTGAATCCCAACCAACACACCTGGTGAATACTGGGATTTAAGAGGTGGGTATAGGAAGAATAAGAAAGAGAACAAAAAGGGAGGGGTTGAGGAAATGCATCTCTTGTTCTACCTGTCCCTGTGAGTGTCTTCTGGAAACAATTGTCCTCATCGGCAGGCTCCTTTGGGAACTGCCATTTTCTTACAGGCCCTGTTTTCCCGTCTACAACTAACTGGGATTAACCAATTTCAGTATTGGTCCAGGGGTGGGCACTGGGCCCCACAGGCCCATCAGAGTCCCTCCTTGAAATCTGAACCTTGGGGTCCGTGAAAACAGTTCTCAGATCTTCTGGGATGTGTGAGGTCAAGAGCCACTGGTGGCTGTGTCTCTAACGCATTTCAACTCTCTCCATCCAGTTCAAGTCAGGCTTCTTGTCACTTGGGATCCAAAGAATCCCGAGGAAGACAATGAGGGGAGCCAGGAGGAGAAGGCAGAAAGGGCGCTGTTGGAAGTCAAAGGTGTGGGGGATAATAAAGGGCGAAAGACAGTCAGGTAAGGACCAAAAAGTGCCTGAGTGGGAGGGGTGGGGGCCCTGGTGACAGTGAAGGAGGTCAGCCTCGAGGAGAGTAATTCAGTAGAGCTGGGGCCAGAATCTGACATCAATGAGGTTAAGGAGTGAAAGGAAGATGCCAGAAGGTGGTAATGGGAGCAAAGACCTCGGAAAGCTGGGGGTTTGGAGGTGGGTGCGGGTGGCCTGGAGCTAAGGAGTGTTTCACAATAAAAGCAAAAATCTTCTGCATATTCACGGGCTGAGCGGGAGCAGCTGAAGGTGGAGGGGGGTGAAAATTGATGAGGCCAGCCTGAGTTGTCATGGGAAGGGTGGACTTCAGGGACAGGAGGAGAGATCCCTCCCTGTTCATTCTTTCTTCTTCTTCTTCTTCTTCTTCTTCTTCTTCTTCTTTTCCCCAAGGTGTTGCCTGTTGTAAATTTTAATACCAGTGTGCAGGCTTTAATGTTGATTTTCCAGGTAATGAATTCTCAGCAGACAGTTTCTGATCGACGTTATATAGCCTTCTACGGGTAAGTCCATCGCATTCTAGTACGTGAACGTGAAGAATAACTTGACCTGGTGTAGCACATTCAGTGCCCTATGTGGGCATAAGGAAGAGTTAGAAAGTTGGAGTTAGACCTCCCTCAGCAACTTTCTGTGTGTGTGTGTGTGTTTATTTTTTATTATTATTATTTGTTCTTTCTAGATATACACGACAGTAGAGTGTATTTGGACATATTATACAAACACAGAATAAGTGTAACTTGTTCCAGGTGAGATCTCATTATTGTGGTTGTGTGTGATGTGGAGTTAGGTTGGTTGTGTATATAAAGATAGGAGAGATATGTCCAATTCATTCTACTGTCTTTTCTATTCCCATTCCTCCCTCCCTTCCCTTCATTCCCCTTTGTCTAGTCCAGTGAACTTCTAGTCTTCCTGTCCTTTGTTGTGGGTCAGCATTCACCCATCAGAGAGAACATTCTGCCTCTGGTTTTGTGGATGGGCTTATTTCACTTAGCATGATAGTCTCCAGATCCATCCATTTACCGGCAAATGCCATGATTTATAGCTGAGTAATATTCCACTGTGTATATGTGTCACATTTTTTTTTTATCCCTCTGTTCTTTCTGAAGGAAAGGAGGTAAGGATGGGAACAGTCTCTTATTTTGATGGCCTCGATTTTCTCAAGAAGAAAGCCAGACTGGCCAGGTGAAATGGAAGAGGGCAAGAGGGAGGGAGCGGGAACTTGTGACAAACAATGGCCCTTTCTTCTTCGATCAGTGAGATCTTAGGAGTGGACAGCCTTCAGGAAGGTACTGGGGGCTGCTCTGGGCTGGGGGCCATGAAGGGATGGACCATTCTTGTTCTGTGATTTTCTCTAACAGCGGTCTTCTGTCCAGGTGACGGGATGAAAGAAGCAACAGCAACTCCATCCTAGGATTGGGTTTTCCAAGGGGATGAAGAATAAGAACTGGGGAACAGAGGGGCTGGGGAGAGTCCTGATGCTTTAACAGAGGGGCTCCTGCCTGGACCAGACATCACGATACCAGCTCCTGAACACACCTGTCTGTGGGCTTTCTCGAATAGCTTACCTAACTGGAAACACCTAAGATCCATCCTTACACATACCCTTCCAGGAGCTGCTTGGTGACCCACAGGAACAAGGGGCCCAGTGTGGCTGCTGCGTGTGTCACACACACATCCAAAGCCAGAAAACAGAAAGGTGCAAACAGGTTAAATATCCACTCGAAAGTAAGGGAGTCAGAGCGTGCAGGTGCCGTGAGGAGCGTAAGACGTGAAGATCTGGAAAGTGGTTATGACGGCGGTGGGAGGAATCAGACATCAAAGGTCGTGGCTGTGGGTTCAGATTCTGACTGAATAAGTGACATGGACTTCTGATTTGGGAAGGGATGATCTTCTCATCACCTTCCTCAATTCTGCACACCCAATGTCCATTTTCAGGCTGGACCTGAGCAAAGACTGACTCTTGGAAGGAACAGGGTGTAAAATTTGCCTCCTGCTGGGGCTACATGCAGATAAAGGCCAACAGAGCCCACAGGTGGTCAGGGGCAGAAGCTGGGGGTAACACAAAAGAGGGAAGGAGTGGAAAGAATCCCTTCCACCAACAGGGACTGCTAGCAACACATTTCTTAAATTCTGAGCATTTGCCCCAGCTCTGTGGGTTCAGGGCAAACCAGTAGGGACCCAGAAAGCAAATCCTGGCTGTCCAGTTTCAAGGACCCCCCCCCTCTTTAGAGAGCCAGGACCTGCTATGGAACCACTGTGAGGTTTGCTAATTCATAGCTTATAAATATGTATCACACTCTACATCTCGGTCTCATTTCAGAGTGTGGGCTCACTTACCCTTAGCAAATCTTTTTGTCACTTTCAAAAAGTCTCCAGCTTCAAGAAACCTTCTGCTGTTATAAATAGACACCCGGGCTCAGGGAAAACGCGCCTGTCAGCGTCAAGATGCTGATGGGGGAAAGAAGGCAGACCCTACCTCCTGCCTTACAGAATATTGTTTAACAAGATTAATTTATTAGGGCTAGGGGGTGTAGCTCAGTGGTCGAGTGCTTATCTAGCATGTGTCAAGGACCTGGGTTTGATCCCTAGCACCACAAAACAAAGAAACAAGATGCAATTCTGTCAGGGTGTACTGTGTATACGTTTTTTCTCATGTTCATCTTTGATGTGACTGTGTGAGTTAGGAATTGTTTTATTTGCCAATGACAGAAACGCAACTCGAACTGGATGAACGAAAGCATTTTTTAAAAAAATATTTTTGTTAGTTATTGATGGATCTCTATTTATTTGTTTGTTTGTATATGGTGCTGAGAATCGAACCCAGGGCCTCACACATGCTAGGCAAGCACTCCACCCCTGAGCCACAGCCCCAGCCCCAAAAGCATTTTTGTTAGCTCACGTATCCAACAGATATTTATTGAGAAACTATTATGTAGCAGGCAACTGGAAAGTTCAAAGGTCGTATCCGCTTCAGGCAAAGCCTGATCCAGCAGCTTAAACAGTTTTACCAAGAACTTGATTCATTTCTCTGTCTCTCTGCTCTGCCTCCCACATGCTCATCCTTGAGCTCCACGTAGGAGTCATTCCGTTCTCACCCCCCCCACACCCCACCCAGCAACTAATCCTCCTCGCATCACTCTGGCATATAGAAGAATCTCTCTCCCCAAGGAGTTCCATTAGAATCCTTAAGACTCACTCTATGTGGCTGGCAAAGGGATATGGTGATTGACCTGCACCAATGAAGTCCTATCCTGTCTGCTGGGAGTGGGGCCAAACTCACCCCAAACACCCACAGAAGCAAATTCCTTAAAAGAGCATAGGAGTGCTGGAGGAAGAAGAAGAGCAAATGAATGTCAGAGAAGAGAGCAGCAAAAAGTCATCAGTACATTCTGTCATTGTGCTAACTAGATGGCAAGTCCCCCCCACCCCACCCCACCCCCCCAGAATGTCTGAAAGCACAAACTGAAGCCTGGTTAGAATTCTGACTCCACTAGGAGTCCATAAACTGGGCAACCTCAGGCAAATTACCTAACCTGTCTGTGCTTCGGTTTCCTCATCTGTAACATGAGGATAATGGTAGTAACTGCCTCATAGGATGGTGATGAGCACTAAACGAGTTTGCAGTTATAAAGCAGTTAGAACAGCGGCCTGCTCCTAGCAAGCTTTCCTGAGTGCTTGTTTTAAAACTGTGGAACCAGTGGGTACCTGGGCACACAGTGGGGGGCCCAACAGGTGTTGCAGAGTGGTGGTGTGACAAAGCTGGGGGCAGGTACCACTCCTGTGGAAACTCACAGCTCAACCCCTCCTCTCTCACATCTGGTCCTCCGGTCCTGGGGGGGGGGCATGGTTTGGGAGCTCTTTTCCCAGGAAGTCAGCAGCTGGGCAGAGATGAACGTCCAGCCCCCCCTACCCCCATGTCTACCCGTGATGAAGATGGCACAGCCCCGGCAGGCATCATCGGAGCAGCAGTTCTTCCTACAAACTGACAGGAAATCCATCGTGGTGGGTCCTGGGGGCCCATGGAGGTGCTCCTGGAATAAACGAGCTACATGGGCCATGATCATCTGTATGACGATGTAGGGCTGGTTTTTCCCCAGCCTGTGACTTTTCACGCTTCTGAAGCTGTATAAAAATGAACTGTAATCAAGCTGATCTATACATAGGCAGTCCCTGTCGCCCAGCATGCGGAGTGAGGGTGGGTGTGTGGATGCATTTGCATAAAGCTGAGGGTTGGAGAAGGCTATGGGGGGGGGCGGGGGTTGATCCTTTTCTGTTTGTTGTTTGTTTTTGTTTTTGAGGGGCTGGGTTCCCCCTTCCTGGAAGCAGAGACAGAGAAGAAGGGAGGGGGAAAGAAATAGGGAGGAATCGCAGCTTTTGAAAAGAGAAGCACTGACCATAAGATCAAGTTCATCAATTCTCTGTCCACAGGGAAAGAATGGGCTGGTAAAAACAACAACAACAACAACAACAACAACAACAAAAAAAAAACTGGAACTGGCCAACAGGTGAGTGTGAGGTACAGAGGAAGGGGTGTATGATCTCTCTCCTGTCTGCCATCCCCCCCTACCCCGCTCGGCCCCTGCCCTTGTCCTGTATCTACATAAGGGAAAGATGTATCCCGGCCTTCTATGCACAGGGATATTTAGATATGCAAATGAGCATAGCTTGTTAATGAGCTGAGGGTGATTACACCGCAGGGAGCTGCCAGCCCCAGCTGAACAATAGGTGAAGGGACACCAGGTGTCTGGAAATGGGGAGAGGGGAGTCCCCCCCACCCCAGACTTTCTCAGATGGGAGGACCAAGTGCCATGGAATTGGGGTGGGAGATAGGAGACCCTGTGGAGTGGGCAGGTCACCTTGTGCCTCTTTGGGCAGCATTTGGTCACAAGTCAGTGACTGGAAATCTTCATGTTTTTCAGAAGTCAGGGCAAAGTTTTGCAGTGGGGCAGGGAACCGGAAATGAAAGAGTCTGCTTTGAACTTCTGGGGAGAAAGGCTGAGCATCATTGGGAAAAGTGTGGACTTTGGAGTTGTGTGCACCTGAGTTTGTTGGGCCAGATGCATCCAATGTGTCATATTGAGGATCCCTGGCTGACAAGGTGCCAAGTAGCCAATCTTCCCCTACCCATAAGATACAGGACTCTGACCATAACATATTACTTTCTCAACCGCTTGAGGGTTGCCTAGCATAGGAGGTAATTACAGAATCTTATGTAAAACTTCTGTTGCTCAGGCAGATGCCCAGCCTGCACATCCTGAGTGCAGAGGAGTGGTACAAACCCAGCCAGCTCAAACAGGATTTGCAGTGTACTTTTTGAGCTGTTGTTCTGAGACACTTTAGAGCAGAGCAGGACACTCATCCCCCACCCCCAGTCAGCCTCCCGGTCTTTGTGGCACACAGATTAAAAAAGCATGGACTTGTCCCGAAAATGAGATTTTTTGTTGTTGTTGTTTTGCTTAAACTTGCTTAGATTCTCATGAAAACCTTGAAACTCTCTCAAAACAGCCTAAATCTTTATTAAGTCTCCTCAAATCTCCCACATCTGCTGTGTGGCTGGATCACTCCAGAATCAGGACATGTCCCTAACCTTCTATTAAAGGCCTTTGACTTTGTACCATGTCACTACAGCATCAGTCAACACGGCCTATAAATATGGATGCTATGCTAACAAGACATATTTCTAATTTAGTGGCAGTGAAGTGCAGGCCTGGGGGTGGGGAGGGGCACATACACAGAGAACAGTATTGAAAAACAGAAGTGATAATTAGGGTTTAATAAATGGTAATTTGCTCCTTGCTGATGCATGTGTCAGGGAGAAGCGAAACAGAGAGGGTCCCTCCCAGAAAGTGGACTGGAGGTAGCATCATTTCTGTCTTCATGTTGCTCAGTATTGAAGCTCCTTCTCATTTACCTACAGATCCTCTCCTCCGAAAACAACCTCCTGTGGAACAATAGAGAAGGCAATTAGATAAGAAATATTTATTACTGGGACCAAATTTTAACTGGACTCACAGAACCTCTGGGGTCAGACCCCCAGAGTCAAAGCAAAGAATGAAAACAATTACCTGGATCATTCAAGGGGAGGAAATAATTTTTGCTTGAATGAGTGTCTGAAGTATGGGAATGATTTTTCCCATCCTCTGCTTGGTCTGGTAGTGGAGACCTGGTGGATGGATTCAATAGCCAAGAATGAAAGACACAGGAAACAGTGGAGCCCGGTGGTAGGTTGGTGGGTGGAGACCAGCCAAGTCCAGCTGGGGCTAGGGAGAGATTCTCTGGAGCTGGACAAGAATGTCAGCAAAGCTGAAAATCCACATGGAGATCCCAGGCCCAACAGACAAGGAGTGCAGTCTGAAAAGAGCCATATTTGGTGACGGAAGCTGGGAAAGTGGAAAATCAAGCAAAACAGAATTGGGAGAAAAGAGAGAGAGAGAGAGAGAGAGAGAGAGAGAGAGAGAGAGAGAGAGAGAGAGTGTGTGTGTGTGTGTGTGTGTGTGTGTTAGGAAGGGTAAAACATTTGTCTATGCCAGAACTTTCCAAACCTGGCCACCCATCAGATTAACATGTTGAGCTTTTAAATGCAGATTCTTGGACTCTAGTGGCAGAACCAGAGAGTTACAAATTTTCGAGGCTCAGAGTGATTTGCCATTGTGAAAACGGAAGGTATGCTGTCATTCGGTGGGTCCTGAAAGTCTCCCCTTCTGAAAGATAGTTACTTCAATTATGAATGATGTATCATTTGCAGTTCACTCATCGCCCACTTGTTATTCATTTTTCATATACCAATTTCCGGCAAGGGCAACACAGTAGTTTGTGATCTTGCTACAGAAATTAATAGCAGCTAATTGTGGTGAAGTTAAAATTCCACAAATTATGTGATACTCTTTTTCAGGAGGCAAAACTTCATTCCCCTATCCCTGAACACTTGGTGCCTTGCTGGTAACAGATAGAATACAGCAGAACTGATTTCCAAGGCAAAAAAGGGCTTTGCAGATTCTTCTCTTTCTCTCTCTCTCTCTCTCTCTCTCTCTCTCTCTCTCTCTCTCTCTCTCTCTCTCTCTCTCTCGTATTGTTCACTGCCAGAGCTTCCATGTCATGAGGACACACAAGCAGCTTCCAGACATGTTCACGTAATGAGGAACTGAGGCCTCCTGCCATCGATCACTTGAGTGCGCCATTTTGGAGGAATGCCCTGAAAGGAATTATGGGACCTCAGCACTCCTTTTTCTGGTCTCTGGGGCTGCCATGAAGTGAGCAGCTTGCTCCACCATGCATTCCCCACCCTGATGTCCTGCCTCACCACAAGTCCACAGTCAACAGGGCCAATCAACCGTGGACTGAATCCTCCACAACTGTGAACCCAAACAAATCTTTTCTAAGATGCTTATCAGAAGATATTTGTTACAGTAACAAAAAGCTAACCTACTACCCTAAGTTAGGCATTGAGTGATTTGCCCCAAGTCATACAGCCTGGATTTGCACCAGGCAGTGTGACTACAGCACCCATGCTCCTAACAATGTCTCTGGTAGAGCAACAAATGCCAGTAGGTACCAAATTCTTGACTCCTGGCATGAGACAAGTGGTCCGCTTCAGCTTTTCATTTCGGAAGCTCTGCTCATGCACACTCCACTAACATCACCACTTAAGAGTCAGTCCCCTGGCCTCTCCCTTATTTCTTACCCTTACCATTCTGATTCAGCCCCTCATCCTTCCTGTTAGTTTTAGCCCCCTTCCTCGAGGATTTAAGTTCTCCTTCCTGTAATAAATGGACTCATGTCCCCCACCCAAATATATATCCAAGTCCTGTCCCCTGATATCTGTGAATGTGACCTTGCTTGGAAACAGAGTCTTTGTAGATGTGATTAAGGTAAGAATCTCAAGAGGAGATCATCTGGGATTTAGGGTGGGTCCTAAGTCCAATGACTAGTGTTCTTATAAGAGAAAAGAGAGAGAGGGATTTGAGACACAGACATGGGGGAGAGCCACATGAAGACAGAAGTGGAGATTGGAGGGACGCACCTATAAGCCAAGGAGCACCCAAGAGTTGTTGAGCCACAGAAACTAGGAGAGACACACAGAATGGAATCTCTCAGAGCCTCCAAGGAACCAACCCTGCCAACCCCTTGATGTTGGATTTCTGATTTCCCGAACTGTGAACGAGAGAACAGCAAACTAGAAGCATCCTGGTGAAGTCTCCCTGTCTACAGCTCTGCATTTAAACATGTAGATACTTGGGGATGAAGGGTGTGGAGGAACAAGGAGGTGCGATCCAGCGCCATCACTTGTCTGCCTTTGATAGCATATAAAATTTCCCATAAAGCCACAGCAAAGTATAACTTAAACATTTAAGTGACTCCTTCAGATCCTTAAAGATGCTATAAATACAATCCTGGTGTAATTTACAAAACTATTAAAATAAATGCGTCCACTAAAATTAACCATTGCTACCTCCCAGCGCATGTTTACACACATAACCTAAGTGCAAACTTACCTGACTATATACACCCGTGCACCAATGGTAAATGGAAGGTCTGGGTGCTGTTCACAAATGAACAGGGTATGTGCGTGACTGGAGGGCATCTTTCAAGGAGAGCTGGTCTTTCCATCTCACCTTGTCCTTCAGTTTGGAGAAATGCCTCCCCTGGCTGGATGCCCAGATGATGCCATCCATCCATGAATTTCACATTATGCACAGAAAGGTACTTCTGAAAATGATCGCCCCCATCCTTTCCATGTGATTCAGCTCGTAGAGAGAGCCTCCACTTGGACCTTGACCATTTCTCATGTCACAGAAATATGAGCTGAGCCTCAGGCCTTGGGAGGTTTGGGAGCAGGGGAGGGGTGTGATAAGATTTGTTTGGCATGTTTTTGAGCCATGAGATTTGAAGTCTGTATCCAAGGAAGCATGAGCCCAGGGCCTGAATTTAATTCATCTTCAATGTCATCACTCTTGGGTCTGTCTTGCATTTGTACGTTAGAACATTCCAGAGGAAACTGTAGAGGGTTGAGGTGATACCCAGGAGTCACAGGACTCATTGGAAGAGGGACAAGAAAGAGCTTACACCTGCTGTCTCGTTCACTGGGACATCCATGGTGCCTAGCATATGGAGGATGTTGTAAATAAGTGTAGAAGGAAGGGAGGCAGAGAGAGAAGAGAGGAAAGAAGAGGAAAAGAAAAGAAATTCTAAATAATCTAAGTCCTGAGGAATCCAGCTTCAAGTCCTGGTTCCACTATGTGACTTTGGGGAAATTTCTCTAAATCTCCATATTCCTGAACTTTTCTATTATAGGACCATTGCAAGGCTTATACAACATCACTCACATAAAACATCCAGAACATTGACAGGGAATAAGTGCTCCATTCCACATATGTCCACTGAATGAATGAATGAATGAAGTCTATCTGTCCTGTGGATGGCAGGCCCTGGAGTTTAGGAGCATTGCATATAATGCATTGGGACTAGACAATTGCTTCCTGAGGTTTGTCAGCAGATTGCTGCCGGCTTCCTTATTTATGTGCTAGGTTTTCATCATTCGCCATCCACACTTAGGGGATTAATTCTCTGGGACATACAACCAGTAACACACCAGCCAGCCAGACAACGGATACAGATAACAGCTGCCAGGGTTGTAATTCCCATTCCATTGACAAGCTTTCAATGAACCCAAGAAGAATAGAGCAGCTAAAAGCTTCCATTCAAAGTTAGTAACAATGAGTTCTGAGTGTGTATGTGTGTGTGTGTGTGTGTGTGTGTGGTGGGCAGGAGGAGGGTGGGCAGCCAGCCCTCATGCTTTGGGCCAGCACAGAACAGAGGCCAGGCAGGTGGTGCACCAGGAGCCCACTGAGATTTCAGGGAACTGATTGAAACTTTCCAATTTACAAAAGAAAAGTTTAAGAGGTAATTTTTTTCTTGGCGGGTGGATACTCGGGATTGAGCACAGGGGCACTCTACCACTGAGCTACATTCCCAGCCCTTTTTATTTTGAGACAAGGTCTCACTAAGTTGCTGAGGCTAGCCTTGAACTTGCAATCCTCCTGCTTCATCCTTCTGAGTCACTGGGATTACAGACATGTGCCACTGTGTCCAGTTTAAGAGCTTATTTTTTTTTCTTCTTCTTCTTCTTCTTTTTTTTTTTTTTGCAAAGGTTACCATTGCAACCTTTTAAAAAAACTTTATAGTTGGATTGTACCATGGTTCAGCTGTTGTGAAAAAGTTGATTGGTTCTTCTAAAAGTTAAACTTTAAATTACCATATGATCCAGTAATTCTACTACTATATATATACCCCCCAAAATTGAAAGTTACTATTCAAACCAATTCATATGCAGGCATGTTTATCCCAGCATTCTTCAGTAGCCAAAAGGAGGAAACATCTCAACAGTCCATCAACAGATGAAATGGATGAACAACTTGTAGTATATCCATACTGTGGAATTTTACTCAACCATGAAAACAAATGACATTGATACATATTATGACATGGATGAACCTGGAAAACTCCATGCCAAATGAGAAGCCAGATACAAAGGTGACAGATAGCATGATTCCATTTATAAAAACTATCCAGAAGAGGCAAATCTATAGACACAGAATGAATATTGGTGGTTGCTAGGGGTGTGTAGGGGGAGGGAGTAGAGGGGAGATGTTGCATAATGGGTGAAGGGTTTTTCTTTAGAATTACTTTGGAAACATTTTGGATCTAAATAGAAGTGGTAGTTGCACGGCATTATGTATGTGCTACTTTCCACTGAATTGCTCACTTTAAAATGGTTAATTTTGTGTTATGTGAATTCCACCTGAATTAATTATTTTAAAAATTGCATTAATTAATATAATTACCTCAATACATACACAAGATAAAGAAAGATTCCAACTCCACAGACAGGTCTATGTGAAAAATAAGCATCCTTTCTTACCTTAACCTCAGTTCTCCCCAGAGGCAATTACTAGAATTTTTTATGAATCCTTTCAGAGGCATTGTAAGCCTATAAAACAGACCTACATTCTTTATATGTGTAAAGTAGTAGTCTGTTTTACACATTGTTCTGATGTGAAGAACGTTTTAAGAACACAGTTCTTAAATCCAAGAGCTTTGCCACACACCTATAATCCCAGCGACTCAGGAGACTGAGGCAGGAGGATCGCAAGTTCAAGGCCAGCCTCAGCAACTTAGTGAGGTCCTAAGCAACTTAGTGTGACCCTGTCTGTAAATAAAATATAAAAACAGAGGGGGATATGGCTCCATGGTTAAATGCCCCTGGGTTCAATCACCAGTACCAAAAAAAAAATAAAATAAAATTCTCCTCTGCTCTCATCATCTACCTCAGGCCACCACCTGCCCCTGCAGGTAACCCCCATTCAGCTCTCGAGCAACCCTGAGCACCAAGGCCTGCCAGGCTCAGACTTCTTCTGCAAGGTGGAGCCAAGCCCGACCTGGCCATTTATAAGTTATCCCCAAAGCTCAGCCTTTTGAATCTAGATCTCTAGAACCTGATGGAATTCTCACTTTTGACTCTTATTATTCAATGTCTGAGAAACCAATTCAAAATTAAGACTGATTGACTAACTAGAATGCCAAGATGTTTTAAAATGCCTACCGGTTTTTGAGCCCCTGCCCATGCGCTGGGGTTAGGCCCTTCTTGCCACATTCCCTCCGGGCGGATCTTATGGAAAACCCATTTCACAAATGAGGAAGGAAATGGAATCTTAGAGAGATTACAGAACTTGCCAGCTCATGAGTAGGAAATCCATTTCCTACTTTTTGTTCTACCCCCTATTACTACATGGTTCCAAAGCTGTCACTCACGAGAAGGGGATCTTAGCAGCTACTGGAACATGTGCATGTTCTAACAAGGTCCCTGGGAACTAGATTGTAATCTGGAGATGAGCAAAGAATAAGAGCCTCTGGCTTAATGCCCCTGTGGTACCGTCCACAACGTTACAACCACGCTAGGCTCGGCCCACGGCAGAACTGAACTCTCCATTGACCAGAATATTAGCATGAAACCTTCCTCTCCTTGTAGAGGCTGATTAAATCCTGGCAGATTTCCTGTTTTGTCCCTGATCCATCAGGATGCCAGGCAGCACTGTTAGCAGGGCAAACAAACCCTCGAATCCATCAACCTAGATCTGAATCTCAGTCCCTCCTTGTATCAGCCAGGAGACTTCAGATGCATCACTTTTTATTTCCTTCCTTTTTTTTGGTATCGGGGATTGAACCCAGGGGCGCTTAACAACGGAGTCACATCCTCAGTCCTTTTTAATATTTTATTTAGAGACAGGGTCTTGCTAAATTTCTTAGGGCCTCGCTAAGTTGCTGAGGCTGGCTTTGAACTTGAGATCCTCCTGCCCCAGCTTCCCCCCCCTGGGATGACAGACGTGCGCCATGGCGCCCGGCTGGATGCTTCACTTCTGCTCTACCAACTGGATCACAACTCCCAGCCCAGAACTCAGTCACTGTGGGCTCCCCCTCTCCCTCCTGCCCACCAGCAGGGTGTCCCCAGGCGCTCAGTATACCCTGTCACACATTCCAGTCCTGAGGGTTGTCTCTGGCCATGTTTATGGGGCTTGGGTAATTCTTAATCCTCTCCCTCCCGGCCCTCTTTCCCCTTTGCCCTCAATCCAAACAGGCATATGACCAGCTCCTGGCCCCAGATATAAAAAGGACATTGTATCTGAGACTGGGAGCCCAGAGCTCCTTGGGTCGGATTTCTACCTCCCATGGACACTAATCAGGCTCTGGGAGTCACATGAGGACCCGTGACCCCCCAGCCCAGATGGTCTTCTGTCTCAATGCAGACGGAGACGCAATCCTGGAGACAAAGCAGCTACACTCCGCCTGATGCCCGGAAGCTCCAGGCAGACTCACCTCATTCTGCTAGCGAGTCCTCTCCCTGAGAAGCCGGGTAGTACATGAATTCATAAATGGAATCCTCTTCTGATCCTAATGATTACTGTTATTCCAGGGGATCCTTGTCCTTGGCGTTATGTTCTCCAGATTGTGTCTCCTTCAATTGTGGGGCTGAGCTGTTATCTATTGAGTGTTTACAACATGTAAGTGGATTATACGTGAGTGAATTCATCCTCATATCAGTCTTGGAAGGTGGGTACTGTTTCTGTCCTCAGTCTAAAGACCTGAGCAATGGCCAACATTAATCAAGCACTATGGAGCAGATGCCCTTCTCCATGCTTTATGGTTATTAACTTATTTCTGTATCACTGCAGTTTTATGATATAGATGCTGCAGCCGAGATCTCCTATTTACTGAGATTCAGAGAGGTTAAGCAAGTAGCTCAGGTTATACAGCCAGCAAATGCCAGAGGCCAAGATTCAAGTCTTGGGGACTGTGGCTCCTGACCATTCTGCTACTCTGCCTCCTGTTTTCCCCAAGGCAGGTCTCGTAGGTACTGTCAGCAGCCCACAGCTACCATTACAAATCGATAGGGTGTGAGCCAGACGAGTCCTGGCTCAGCCACGTAGGTTCCTGAGGCACCGAAGGACAGATCTCACTGATTGATTTCTCAGCTGGGTCTTTAAATGTCAGCGTGTGCGTGACAACCTCGGGCCTTGGGCACAGAAATAAAATGCAGAAGGAAAGGACATTCTTGTGCATGGGATGAGAGAGAGAGAGTCAGGGCAGAGAAAGAGCAACGACCCAGAGCACACGGGTGTGTGGGTCCCTGGAGGCCACGGGGTTGGGAGTCCCATGAGAGCGGTACCCTTGACCTTGGGATGCTGTGAAGCTGTTTATAGTGTGACACTATAGCCCAGGAGAGATGGGTTTTAACCTGATTTAGCTCTACTGTCTGTATTGATTGGTCACCACTCGGAACTGCTTGTTTAGACCACTTGGCCACCAGAGCACAGCCTGTTGTCACCAAGGCAGCAGGACAGCAGTGACAGCTCACCCTCCCTCCAGCTCCCTGACCCACACAGGCCCTTCCTGTGAAGCATTCTGCACCTGCCCAGGCCATTCACCCACTGCTGGAGGATCGGAGGGGACAGACACACACATGACAGAGACAGAGAGTCCTTTCTACTCTCAGGCAGGCTGGAAAGAGACTGATAGGGTAAGGAAGAAAAGAAATCCACCTGAGGTGGATCTCAGATGTGCTCTGTGCAATCAAGTGAGAAATTGAGGCCATATGAGAAAGGGACTTGTCGGGAGCGACAAGGGGAAGGCGAAGGAAACCCAGAAAGAATCCTCTAAGGAAGGGACACGGGGAAAAGAGACCATTCTGAGATCTGGAGGAAGACTCTCAAGGCAGGAGCATAGCCAAGGCAAAGGCCCTGTGGCAGGAGCAGGCTCAGCCTTTTGGACCACAAGAGAGCTAGTGTGGTGACATTCAGAGGGTGGGGATCAGATGGATGCCCTCCTCCGCTGCTCGGTCCCTCTGGGATGACTCTCGCTTATGAGCAGCCCAGGCTCACTCACCCACAGGACTTGACCCCATCCCACCCAGGGACATGACTGTGGATTGGTTCCTTGTCCTCAGAGCCTGGGGTCAATAATTTTAGCCGTGTCTTAGAAGGAGATCCAGGGTGGGAGGTGGAGGAAGGGCTCCGGTCAGGGAGACCCAGAGGAACTTCCTGATCTTCAGGGACCACCGAAGATGGTGGTCTTCTAGCCCAGCTCCCGTCACATCTCAGCTGACCCTCCATCCATGCATCCACGTCTGCCCTGGGATCCATCCCTGGGACCCTGCTCCTGGGCCCCACATTGGCAGGGACTGTCTCATTTCACTTAGGGCAACTCCCTCTCATTTGCCTAGCACGGAGGAGTCCCAATCCAGGAGGGAGACCTTCCAGAGGCCCAATCCCGTCTAACTGCTGTCTGTTTTAACGTTCCTCTGGCATTTGTTTGAAGGTGTGTTTGATGCTCCATTTCCTGTGGTCTGGTGTTGGAGTTTTCCGAGTGTCTGTCTCTTCCTTGGTAGTTCCAGCGTTGGTTCTGCCGGGTCCTGGCTGAGGGGCTTTTGGCAGGGCCCTTCACCCTTCCAGGTCTCAGCCTCCTTTCATTCCCAACTTCCTTTGATCCCTAAAACCAGTTTATTGGTTTATTGGGCAGTGGATTCCAGGCAGGACCACGGGACAAAAAGGGAAGTGAGACAGGGAGAAGAAAGAATCCCAAACAGGGTACATTATTCAACAAGTGACTGCACTAGGAAGCTGGGATTCAGTCCTGCTGGGCAACTTTGGGAGACAGTATAGAATACGGCTTCCTAACCTGGCTGAACATTGTAGTCACCGGGGAGCTTTAAAAAGTGTATGGTGCCTGAGTCCTACCCACAGAAGTTTGGATTTAATTGATTTGGGATTGCTTGGCACAGTGCCAAGTGTCTACAATCCCAGTGATTAGAGAGGCTGAGGCAGGAGGATCTAAAGTTGGAGACCAGCCTCAATAACTTACTAAGACCTTAAGCACCTTAGTAATATCCTATTTCAAAATATAGAATTAAAAATTAAAAGGGCGGGGAATGTAACTCATGGTAAAGTGCTCCTGGGTTCAATCCCTAGTACAAAAAAATTTTTTTTTTTTCTTAATTGGTCTGGGACTGTGAACTGGGCATCAAGACGTTTCTTATATTCTCCAGGTGGTCTAATGTGGAGCTGAGTTTGAGGTCAGTGATATAGAATACATCTCACTATATTTCCCAGGCTGGCCTTGAACTCCTGGGCTCAACAATCCTCTTGCCTCAGCCTCCCAAGTAGCTATGACTACAGACCAGCCCCCTGGTGCCAGGCTAATATCCATATTTTACAAATGAGGAATTCAAGTCATCAGGAAGAAGACTATTTCAGAGGCTTCCTGATGTTCCAGGCAGAGTGCCAGGCACTCTACATCTGTCATTAATAATAGTAATAATATCTTATGTACACTGTGCACCTACTGTGTGCCAGGACCCTTCCAAGTGCTCGTTTAAATCCTCATAACGCTCCCATGAGGCACATATGGGCACATATTTGTAATCCCTATTTCACAAAGGTGGAAACTGAGGCTTAGGGAAGTAAAGAGACTTTCCCAAAGTCACAGAGGTGGACGCAGGACTGCCACGCAGGTAGTCCAGTGGCCGAGCCTCTTCCCTTAACCATCACACTGATGACCTCCATCACCCGTTCCAGAACCCAGGGGCAGCTTAACCACTGAGTCACATTTGTAGGCCTTTTTATATTTTGTTTCGAGATGGGGTCTTGCTGCCTTGCTTTGGGCCTCACTAAACTGCTGAGGGTGACCTTGAACTCGTGATCCTCCTGCCTCAGCCTCCCAAGCCACTGAGATTACAGGCATGTGCCACTGTGCCCAGCTCTGGTTCTCTTAAGCATGCCCAAAGACCAGCCCAAAGAGCAGACCCTGTCAGCTGTCTGATGAACCTCACTGGGTCTCAGCTACAGCTGGGACCACCTGTCCACAGGCCTCTGCAGGAACACCCAAGGGCATCAGATGGGTACCACTCAGCACAGAACTGACCTCCCAGACCCACAAGGCTGCTGGTGGGCTCCGAGCAGGGCCTGCTGTTCCTGCTGGGGTGTGCCATGCCCCCATTTCCATCCTATTTTTAAACCAGGGCTGTGGGGGCGGCCAAGAAGTCTGTGCTTGCCTGGGGTGAGCACAGCCAGGACTGTATCCGGCACCCAACAGCTCCTAGGTACCCAAGTGACCAGATTCATCAGCATCCCGCCTTCTGTCTCCTCCCAGACTCAGTGCCCCGTCCCTTTGAGAAAGTCCAAGGAGGGCTGCTCCACACTCTGAGAAACACTGTTGACAACCTCAGGGCTTGTAATGAACCAAATCATGCTGAATTAATTGGATGTCGTTAGCCGATGTCAGGGAGGGGGGCTGGGGAGCAGCAGCAGCCACCAAGCCTGGGGAAGGGAAAGGCGGAGGCAGGACAGCCCACAACACAAAATGCTCGCACAGCTTGTGCGAGAGAAGAATTCCTATTGTCAGTTCTTGCCGAAATAGCCAAGGCACCCACTCTCGCCTCAGACAGCACCTCTATTCTGAAACAGGCCCCCCAGCCTGGAGCTTCCAACAGTGCGCCTCGCCTCCTCCAGGTGCAGCTGTCCTTGTTCACAAGAGCCATAACACAGCCAGGATGACAAGCAGGAGCCGGGACCAGCCCCCACGTCCCGCTGAGTTTCAGGGTCAAATTACAAAGGAATCAAGAGACCCCAGCTCTTGGCTGTCCGTCCTATTTCCTGTCTGGAAGAGTCCTGATGTTCCTCACACCTAGTTCAGTGTTGGGGGAGGCTCTGGAGTGCAGGTATGGGAGCCCAGAGGCTGTGCAGAAACAAGAACATGGGCAGCTAGGAGGAGCCCAGAAGTCTTATTCTAACTCTGCTACCAAGGGGCTGTGTGACCCTGGTAAGTCACGCCCCTCTCTGAGACACCAGAGTCTTCAGCTGAGGGGTGACAGTGTTGAACTGTTCATCTCAGGTTCATCTCAATCTGTGGATCTCAGACACTGGAAGGAGGCAGGGATCTTATAGGCATTGCTAAGATTTAGGAATACTTTCTTTCTTCTTCTCCTCCTCCTCTTTCTTCTCTTTCTTTCTTTCTTTTTCTTTTTTTCCCAATACTGGGGATTGAACCCAGGGCCTCATGCATGCTAGGCAAGTGCTCTACCACCAAGCTACACCCCAGCCCAATTTAGGGATCTTTACATGCACCTTACACTGTCTGTGGGTGGGGAAAAATAGCTTCTGTGCTCACAGGTAGAATTATTTTTCCAAATGAATGTAGTTATCAATGGCCATTGACAGATGTTTATCTTAAAGCAGCCACTGCATTATAGGAATTTATAGGAATTTTGGTTGTTGTTTAATACTTTATCTTTTTTCATTTCTTTCAGTTGTGGTAAAATACATAGAATCTAAAATTTGCCATCTGAACCATTTTTAAGTGCAGGATTCAGCGGCATTAAGTCTATCTGCACCATTGTGCAGCTACCCCCACCATCTGTCTCCTGAAGTTTTTCGTCATCCCAAACTGAAACTCTGCACCCATTAAACACTATTTCTCCATTCCTCCCTCTCTCTACTCCCTGGGAACGACCGGTCTTTTTTTTTTTTTAATCAAAAGACTCTAAAAATGCAACATCTGTTTCTAGGGAAATACATGGAAATTCCAGATGTTGAGGAGTCCAACTTCCTAAGCAGGTGGGGGCCCTTCACCTAAGCGT